CCGCTGTCGTAACAATATATATATATATATATACATATTATAGAAAACGTTTCAAATTACACAAGATCGAATTGATGTTCAGCAATGTCAGTGATAAGATTTTTGTGTTATTCTTTTGGGTACACCAATGAATATCACAGGTTCAGGATCTGCTGATCGAAATTCATTTCTTGTGGTACTTCCAAGTAAAACCGAAACCAACAGGTAAGTATTATGCTCCATAAAAGTATCAGACTCAAAGAAACTGAAATGTATTGCTAAAAACAAAGGGAAAGACTCAAATGATTGTGGGAAACAATATTAATATTGATATTATCAATGTAAACGTTTGTGTAGAATTGTATTGTATTGCATTGGTATTCTCAAGCTGAAAGCACTTTATGTTCACATAGGCTGAATGGATAAGTCAGAGATCCCTTTACTCCGGTAGATCAGTAGTAAATCTTGGGCTTATAACGCTAAAAATCGGATTTAGATACAGAGAGAATGAGCTTATAGTATAGTTTTGTGCTTAACAAGAAGGAAATAAATAAGAGAAACCCATAGGATTCAGGCATGATCATTTCAAATTTGGAACTACGGATCTGAGGGGAAAGACCAGTTAACAGCATCTGCAGACAAAAAAAGCTTTGGATGACTTTGAACACAATAAGCATTGACTTCCACTCATTAAATTAATTGCAGAAGACCTACACTAAAAATGTTGAAACATATTTTGTGAATACACCTGAATAAAGATATGCAACTTATAAGTTACGAAAGTGTATGCTACAATAGCTTTCGACTGATGTCTTTCTATTTCCTTATTTTACAGCGCTCAACCTAAAAATGTCCAGATTAATAACTAATATAACCACAGTTTATATAATAACCTCGTTTAGACAACATGCACAAAAGTATGACAGTTATGTGTCAATAAAGAAAAGTAAATTATAACTGTTGTTGAATGTCGCTTGTGCTAATTAGTTCCAGTTTTAAAAATTGTTCATTGATTTTATGAGAACATCAGCATTATTTGTTTGAAGGCATAAATTGTTCAATCTGGATATTTCAGTGAAAGTATATTCTCACTGAAAATTATAGATTGGACAAGTTATACTTTCTAATAAACCATGTTATTGTGCTCATGAAATTGTTGTAGACTTTTCAAAGTTGAAAAAGGAAACTATATTTAATAAACAGGATTCAACAATCATTATTATTAGGATAATTTAAAATGAAAACATTAACTTAATATATATAGTTAAATAAAAAACATAAAATAAAACTGAATATGTTACAAAGAAAAGTAAGTAATATTGGACTGTTTGTTTGTTTTGAATTTCGCGCTAGCCGTCCCTAATTTAGCCGTGTAAGACGAGAGGGAAGGCAGCTAGTCATCACCACCAACTCTTTGGCTACTCTTTTACCAACGGATTGACCGTCACATTATAACGCCCCCACGGCTAAAAGCATGTTTGGTGTGACGGGGATTCGAACTCGCGACCTGCAGATTGCGAGTCGAGCGCCCTAACCACCTGGCCACGCCGGGCCCAATATTGGACTAATAAGAAAACGTAAATATTGAATTATTAATAATTGAATAATTAAAACAAAATAAAATCAAAACTAAAATGTATGAGCTCTTAAGTAACAGCCCGGCATGGCCAGGTGGATAAGGCGCTCGACTCACAATCTGAGGGTCGCGGGTTCGAATCCGCATCCCACCAAACATGCTCGCCCTTTCAGCCGTGGGGGCGTTATAATGTGACGGTCAATCCCACTATTCGTTGGTAAAAGAGTAGCCAAGAGTTGGCGGTGGGTGGTGATGACTAGCTGCCTTCCCTCTAGTCTTACACTGCTAAATTAGGGACGGCTAGCGCAGATAGCCCTCGTGTAGCTTTGCGCGAAATTCAAAAACAAACAAACAAACTAAATACACATACTATATCGTTTCTCTCCATGTACATTTAAGTTTGGTCTTGTTTTTCATAACTGGACAGAAAGAAACAGCTATAATATTAATTTATTTGTTTTAAAGCAAAGCCACTTTGGGCTATCTGCTGTGTACACCACTGGGAACCGAACCTTGGATTTAAGCGTTGTAAGTCCGTAAACCTATCGTTGACCCACAGGGAGACCAGCAGTAATTACGACATAATTATTACTCACTTAGAGATTCTAGTTTTGCAATCAAGATAATCAAAATACAAGAAAATAGAAAAAAATAATAATAATTACAATGTCAGAAACTTCTTTAATTTTCTTAATGGCATCATGAATATGTCTGACAGCTATTCCGTTTAATGAAGCAGCTTTGTGAATGACCTCCTCAGCTCTCTCCAAGTAACCATGAGTTAGTAGCCATCGTGGAGATTCTGGTAGAAACCTAAAATCATAAGTTTACAGAGACATTTAAAATTTTAAAAGTGTATATAAATGAAAAGTTGATTATTGTCATTAAGAAAAGAAAATATAAGATCCATTTTGGAAAGACAATAAAGAAACGATTTGGCAACTACTTTCGCAAAACAACTACGAATTCAATAAGTAATTATCTTTCCACTCCAATGCCTGATATTAATTCACAATAAAATAGAATAAACGTATTCAACATTTTGTTTTGTTATGTTATCTGTTCATAACTAAAATTGGAAAAAATATAATATAGTTTATGATTTATAATTCGTTTCTTTATGAGTTGTCATTAAAGTATTCCTTTAAAACATCAAGGATGTCAGCCTAGTTCAGGTCACTGTGAAGATCCAAGTCAAATATGGCTCGAACTAAATGATGTTTAAGTACTAGTAACACGATCGAAGTCAAACAAAAGTTTTATTTTAAATCAAAATAAACAAGATGGCGATTTAAAATTTGATTACCAAAAACTGTGTATAAATTTACATTTTGAAAATAAAGGGTTCATTGACTATGTTAATTTAAAATTCCGCAGGTGTCAGAAGACACAAACGTTTAGGTTTTATTGCATTTTACAACATTTCCTCGATAGCTCTGTTTTAACAATCTATAATTCAATAAATGCCACAAATCTAATGAAATCCAAATACGTACCAAATTAGACTAGAAAGTGTTAATTTTCATCAAGAAAACTTAAAATAAACTATCATAAAATCACACAAATCTTTGGTCACCGTTAACAGAAAATTAGATTATTAATTTGTTAGTTAGTTTTGAATTTCGCGCAAAGCTACACAATGTAAGACTAGAGGAAAAGCAGCTAGTCATCACCACCCACCGCCAACCTTTGGGCTACTCTTTTACCGACGAATAGTGGGATTAATCACCACATTATAACGCCCTCACGACTGAAAGGGCGAGCATGTTTGGTGTGAAAAGGATTCGAACCCGCGACCCGCAGATTGCGAGTCGAGCGCCCTAAGTATCTGGCCATGTCGGGCCTAGATTATTAAGAAAGCAACAACAAAAACACGATCTGATGTACTATAACATACAAACACTATTGAAAAATTTTAAAAGCCAGCGTTACACATTTTAAAAGAGAATAACGAACCTACCAACACGCTAAAACTGATGGAAAACAGAGAATCGACATAGCAAGTTGCAAGTAAAACCAGTCACGTAACAACCAGGCCAATCCAGCAAGAATCAAAGCTCCAAATGTCCAATTAAATCCTAGTACAGTACACACTGTAGAACGAACATTCGTGCCTATAACTTCTGTAACTGTAGACAAAAGACAACTTTTTAAATTAAAATCTGAACATTTTCTGATGATGTAATGATTATAGTAATTATCTTTTATTACTTTTGCGACAGTAATTATATAAGGAATATAAACCAAATATTCACTTGCGATGATTAAGTAATCTTAATTTTTGTTTGGTTAACTAATTTAAATGGATATAAAATATTCACATATATATATAATTTAATACAT